GTTCGCGGGAGCGGGATCGATCCCTGCGACGGAGTTGACGGAGGAGAGGTGTTGTGTCTGTAGGTGGCGGGATGGTTGTGGTGTTTGATGGTGTAGTGTCGGAAAGGTAGTTGGTTTGGTCTGGTGTGATGGATATCGTGGGGTCCATGCGATAGTGTCCAGGGGAGCCTGGGGAGCCAGGCAGGAACTGTAGTCTGTGGAGCCCGCGTCGGGCGTCGTAGGTGGTGTTGATCAAATGACGGAGGGTGTTGCGGAGTTGCAAAAAGAGTCGGTAGGCTGGTGTGTTGATGAAAGAGGACATCGGGGGAATTGGGTCTTGCACAATGGGGTGATGTTGAAGGTCGTCAATCAGTGTTGCGATGGTGCAGAGCATCCAGTTGAGAAGGAGTAGCTCTGGCTGGTGTGTCGCTGATGGGGCCACGTAGGGCATCGGGTTGTTGGGTAAGAAATGCCCGTGGTGTGTGGTGGGTGGTTCCGTGTAGATGGTGGCCGTCGGTGGATGGTGAGATGACGTGGTTTGTAGATCAGCGCTGAGCATCGTAGCAAACATGCGGCGATCAGTCATGGAGAGCATGAAGGAGGGAAACCGGTTCAGTAAAATGGCTGCGGAAAGTGTGTCAACTGTGGCTGTGTAAAGAAAGTCTCAAGCAAAGAACATGATCTGTTAAAAGTGTGCGCTGGCTAGGTTTTTGTCGCCTGTGCTCGCCGAAGAGTGTCGGTGAGACTGAAATACGGATCAGCAACTGCGGCCGGTGAAGCGGTCTCAGGTGAAGGAGTGAGCATGTTGGCCGCTGCAGGTTTCGGGCTGCAAAGTTGCCGTGGCACTGGATCCTGTAGTTAGTCAGCATGGGCATCACGGGATCGGGACCGTTCTCGGTTTCGATTGTCATTGCTGAGGGTGTGGTGCGGAGTGGCACGTGGTGGAGGACCGGTCCAGTAATGGTGGAAGCGTTCTGCATCTTCTGGTGGTGTACGTGGTGCTGGAGAGGGTGAGCGGCTGGAGAGTGTGCGTGGCAGAGGGAAGCCTGGCGGTGTGTTGTGTAGGATGGCCAGGTTCCTGGATGAGAGTGTTGCTGTGGGGTCGATGCGGTATTGCCCTGGGAGGCCTGGCCTGGTCCGGTGGGGACAAATTGAAGGAGCCGGCGAGCGTGGTAAAGATTATCAATCAGGCTGTCCATCAAAATCAGGTCTCCGCGCATGCGGTAAAGGAGGTTGTATGCTCTGTGGTCCTGAAAATACGTTTGGTTTGACATGGGGTCTGTGTTGAGTGGGTGGCGGCGGATGTGTTGGTTGACCATGAAAAGGAGGTCGAGTGAGCTGTTGAGAGATTGGAAGTCCGGTTGAGTGCAAATAGAAGGTTGGAGCCAGCTAGGGGGTCGTGCTGGTAGAAAGTATTCCGTGTTTGTAGTGCTGACTGGTGGGCGAGCGCGACGAGTGGCCATGGAGGCAGGTACGAGAGTTCAGGACAAAGTGGCACACAAAAAGCTGCGGAGCTGGAGTGAGCCTTGCAGTCGGTGAACAACATATGGCGGAAAGTGCTGGGATTAAACTCATGGAAGACGGATCAAGCGTGTCCAAAAACTTGAACTGCAGTGTTGCATAACAAAATTGAGAGTGTGGAAGGATACTGCACAAGGATGTCACTGAAAGTCGCTGGATTTATCCTGTGGCACGCCGGGGAGAGAGAGAGAGATTGGGTGAAACGAATCACATGAAATAGCTGCCAATAGGCGTGTTTGGAGATTTCTCCGGATGCCTGTTCTCACTAGGCGCTCGCTCAGCAGCCGGCAGCGGCAGCACATCAGCTGTGGGCGATTTTGCTGGTGGTGTCGGAGGTGTTGTCATGGGAGAAGGTGAAAAATCCGGTTGTGAAGGCGGTGGCGGTGAGCCTGCTGGTGAGGTGGGAGTGGGTGGAGGGGAAGGTTCCTGTTGTTGTGGGTCCGCCTGTGGTGGCTTGGAGGAGAGTTGTTTGTCCTGTAAATGTTGCAGGTCCTTTAGTTCTTTCCATCGGGCCTGACATTGCTCGACGGAGAAGCCAACTCGTCGAGCGACAAAAACCCAATTGGGACGGAGCCTGGGATTGCCTTTGAGTTCCACGAGGCGACAGTCGGCGTCGCCATCCCATGCGTCCCAGTCTGCCTGCTGGTTGAGTGGTGGTGGTGGTGGCTGTTTTCGCTTGCGAGTTGTAGCGGGTTGTGGAGTTGGGGTGGGTGAAGGTGTGTCGTCGGAGTTGTTGGATGGTGGTGGTGGTAGGCGGATAGGTGGTCTGGAGGGTGCCGAATCGCAGGAGGAGGTGGGGGAAGGTAAGTTGATAGAGTAAGTTGGTGGTGGTGGTAGCTGTCGGAAATTCTGGCGGAAAGTGGGGTCCGCCTGGCGGATGTGGTGTAGAAGGTGGGTGTGGAGGTGGGCCATGATGTCAGTTGCTTGTCGTAGCAGGTTTTGGACCTGCGAGAGTGCCACCGTTGTTTGGTGTGGCGAAGAACCGCAAGGTGAAAAGGTCAGCGGAAACAGTATGGTTGAACATGGTTTCCAAATGCGCAAGTCTGCGGTCGGCGGCTCACGTTCAGCTGAGAAATGCGGTGGAAACACCTGTTTGTGGGATGAAACATGCAACCACCATGAATCAAAAAGTGGAAAAGTGGAGTCACAGCTTGCGAAAGAACGAGCAGGTACGTCGGCCAGCGTCCTGGCCGATATCCTCAGGGCACTGCAGAGAGCTTTGTTAAGTGGAGCTCTGCAGGCCTGCTCCACTCCCCTGCTTCGGAATCTGTGGTGAAACAAGTGGTGAGTGAATTGGTTGGAAGAGACCCTTTGTCCAGGGGTGGACACACACACTTAGATATAGAGCTGTCAGTTTTGGTACCCCTGATGCATTAGGACTTTACATTACTGCAATGGACCTTGGCTGAAGGAACGGCAAGGTGAAGAGTTGGCACTAGCCCTTTACGGACGGACGAGTGGAGTAAAAAGCTTGGACAACAGCTCAAGCAACAAGAACGGAGAGGTGGTCACCCGCTGCGACTTATAATGCGCCCAGGCGCCCCACGCGTGCAGGTACGTTTACCTGATCGTCCAGCGTGGAGCTTCATTGGCAGGGGCCACAACTGGAGATCCCTCCCTGTAGGACTGCACATTTAAATATATAGTTAGATGTGAATTAAGCAGTGAAGGAGGAACCTGACTGCCGGGCACCCCAACAAGCCACGAGCAGAGAAAGGCCGGGGGGGGTTGCCAAAAGGCAGGGCACATTTGCCAGAAGGCACGGCCACATAGCCGTATCGGCGCTCCCTTGACTTGCAAAACAAATGAATTTCACAGAACAAGCCGCTAGCAAGGAACAAAAGGCCTAGAAAAAGAAGAGATGCCGAAGGAAGAACAGCAGCGCATGCGAGTTAAAGATTGGGAACCATGTGGACATGTCATGATTCATAACACTCTTTAAGTATATTATTAGGAGGCCCAGCAGCTTAAGTCAGCAATCTCGAGGAGGCACGAATGATTAGGAATGATCGCGCAGGACGATTGACCAGTGATTGTCACCCTTGAGGGTCTGTGATAGCAGCGCCCCCAAAAATGGGTTCACACAGTGCACCGCGGTGGGACGGCACTGCAGGTCACACTTAGATATAGAGCTCGCAAGAGCAAGAGTCAGTTATGGCACCCCTGATGCGCTAGGACTTCACATTACTGCAATAGACCTTGGCTGAAGGAGCGGCAAGGTGAAGAGTTGGCATTAGCCCTTTACGGACGGACAAGTGGAGTAAAAAGCTTGGACAACAGTTCAAGCAAAAAGAACGGAGAGGTGGTCACCAGCTGCGACTTATAATGCGCCCAGGCGCCCCACGTTTGCAGGTACGTTTACCTGAGTGTCCAGCGTGGAGCTTCGTTGGCAGAGGCCACAACTGGAGATCCCTCTGCCCCCTGCAAATTTAAATATATAGTTAGATGATTAAGCAGTGAAGGAGGAAAGGTGTTAAAGTGTGTGGATCCCTTAGGAACAGGGTTTGACACACACACGCACACACACACACACACTTGAGAAGGTTGCTCCGTGGAGCTTGTCTTCAGGCTATTCGCGGTGAGCATTAGCACTTTAGTGTTACTGCAAATTAGACCTTGACTAAGGAAAGTGCTGAGTCGGTCAAACAGAATGTTTGAACAGCGCATCAAAAGTTACTGCAAATTAGACCTTGACTAAAAGAAAGTGCTGAGTCGGTCGACCAGAATGTTGGAACAAATCGTTGAGAGATCGATTGAAACAGTTCGAAACTAGCGCAGGTACGTTCAGCTACCTTCCTCTCCGAATATCACATCCGATCAGCAGCGTCTTTGTTAGGCAGTGACTGCTGAAAGGACCACTGCCCCCCTGCTGCTTCTGTACAAGGTGCAACTCAGCGAAATAGAATACGCGAGAAACAGATAGATAGGTTAGTTCCCTTCGAAGCAGGGGTTAACACACACTTATGGATATGCGTACTGACTTGACAGCGGTGCCACACGCCTGCCTAAGAAACCCAAATCCTGAAAGGTCCAGGAAAGTCCTAAAGAGCCTGGGGGTCTTCAAAAGGAAGTGTGGCCCAAAGCGCGAGGCGAAGCCGATCCGACAAAGTGACGACGTTCCGTGCGTGACTGCAGCTGCATTAGCCCTTTACAAGAAACTTCAAAATTTCGAAGGAAGCAGGTACGTCAGTGAGCGTCCCCACCGTTATCAGTGTTCAATGCAAGCCTCTTCGTTGGGCTGGTACTTGCATGAACAACCAGCCCCCCTGCTTGAAACAAAACGAAAACGAAAACAATTCCAAAGAATCCCTGTGACTACAAGGGGTACACACACACACAGAGACAGTAGTCTCAAAATGAAAGGCCTTGTGACACTGCTTATGAATCACAGCCTCTTTGCAGATAGACACAACTGGTATTTCATCGAGATATATAAGTGCTGCTAGCACAACTTGCGCACTCTTTCGCCCCATCCAAACTCAAATCAACTTGTCTCAAGCCTTGCAAAACACCAAACGAGCATAATAAGAAGAGCTTCATGTCGTCCACCATCTTGTGTCCGTGGTCCGGTCGGAAAGGGATCTCTGACATGACTCCCCAGCCTTCTGCCTTTCGGCGCTGCTTTTCTTGGAGCATCGTCAGCATGATGGAATACATGTCAACGTCACCACCCAGGTGATCGGACTCAGTGAAGGTACATCCTGCAGGTCCAAGCCCAGTCTCTGGCGCCGGAGGCATTTCCTTCGTCACGTTTCTCAAGTGCACAAAATGCGTACGTGAAGCAAACTCCTTTGCCATCTCTTCCACCTGGGGGTTGAGACGTAGAGCAAACACCAAAACTGAGCGCCAAGAAGAATCAAGAAGGATAATTTAGAAACAATTGAAAAGTCAACAAGTTCTTGACGTTCTTTTCCATCTTTGAGTCGGTTCTTGCAGCGAGTGCTCTTCGAGAAAAAGATCTTTTGAAAATCCTGAGCACAACCTTGCCCTAGTACAAGTTCATAACCACGTGGCCCCGCACCCCGCAGTGGCAAAAAGCTAAAAATATGAAAAACATTCAACGCCTTGTTCTGAGGCGAAGAAGCATAGGTTCCAACACAGAGTGTGATACCATTGTGCTTCGAGTCTGCTGCCTTCAAGAGAGCAGCCACATCATCACGAGTTGAACAGGCAGGAGGGAGGCCAAGAATTGGACGGGGCGGGTCGTCTGGATGGATGGCCATGTAGACCCCAGCTTCCTCACACACGGGAATGATGCTTTTCAAAAAATACGCAAGGTTCTCTCGAATCTGGGCCGGCGAAACATCCTTGTATTGAGCAACAGCTTGTCTAAACTCTTGCACTGTGTAGGCTTCCACCATCCGGCCAGGCAAGCCAGCAATGATGTTTTGTTGAAGAGTCTCCTTTTCTTTCTCTGTCATTTTCTCAAAGATCGCTTTTGCCCTCGAGAAAGCTGCAGCTTCATATTCTTTCTCTGCTCCGTCACGCTTCAATATGAAGAGATCAAAGGCTGCCAAATCGTCTGCATCGTAAGCCAATGCTTCCGAGCCATCTGGCCATCGTCGAGTCAGGTCAGTGCGGGTCCAATCTAAGACTGGCATGAAGTTGTAGCAAATCCTGTGAACACCACACTTGCCCAGGTTTCGCACCGTCTGTTTGTACGCCTGCAGCGGAGAAATACGTAATCCTTCACTGGTGTGGAAAGCTATCAATCCATCTGTGTCCCTGCTCCTAAATTGTTCAGCATGATGTCATGATGACCAATCAGCAGTTCGCCAAAATATAGACAAAATTAAACAAATGTCTTGCAGTATTTGCTGTCTTCTTCACACCTGGATGTATTGCTCTCGCTCAGCTTTGCCCAATTTGATGCTCTCGTGGACAGGCACAGACTCCACCACTGACCAAGTAAAGCCATGCAACTCCAACAATTTCTTTCTCTCCTGGCAAGCCGGTGTTCACCGACGTTCAATGCTATTGAAGAAGCTGGCAAGCTACTGGCTGAAACTTGTACCTATTGTGCATTACAGCAAATTGTGAGTCTTGGATGAGCGACTGTCTGATGCATACGCCGGAACGGGATCAAAACCCTTGGTCACATCTTTTTGCGGTTGGAATGTCGTTGATAGATTGTGAGGCTACCTAAACACCAAAATTAAACTGAAACCAACGAAGTCGATCATGTCGTGTTCCCATTACTCCACTGCGCATGCAATAGTCACCAGGGTGTGTCACGTCGCATCCATGATTCTTATGTACATTGCTTTGACTTGATCATTTACCTTGTTGCTTAACATCCTGTAAGCATAATCTGACACAACCATCTGTGCAAGGAGGTCTGAAGCCATTGCTATTGCAAGCTTGAGAAGAGCTGTTCAAAAGGAGTGCCAATAGACTGAAGCAATGCTGGATTAGAGCCACTTAGTGTGTCAGCTTTCTAGCACATGAAAAGAAAGTGAAGTGCAAAGACGAAAGATGGTGAACTCACTATAGTGCACATGGGATGGGAGTGACAACTCTTGCTATTGTACGACACATGCCAGATTCAATAGGCTTGAGTTTATGTCCCAAGGCAGAGTACATCACACAAAAAAAGGACATGCGGCGTTGCTTGCTCAACGTGTGTACTACGTCTAAGGAGAACGATACAAGTTGCAAGCTGGCAACTTCCGCTCCATGATAGCTTCTTCAGACCAAACCTCTCCAATTGGTACCTTGAACGAATGAGAGCTCCAGCAAGCTTTACAGTAATTTTTTGAAGCACCTTGCAAACATCAGTTGGATTCACCCTTTCAAGCAAGTCTGTGAGAAGGTGATATAATGTGGCAAAAAAAGGACTTGTGACTTGTAGCGTTTGCGTTTCCGAACACTGACAATGGTGACGACGCTCCGCGTTTCTTGCCAGGTGACCTGATGGAGTGCTGTGACAATGCCAGATGCGCCCGCTTGCTTCACATCCTGCACTAGTCGGCTCAAAGAATCAGTTTGGAAAAAAGAGATCCCAAATCCCAAAGTGAATTATACCAGCATAGACCCCAAACAGCTTAGTCGGCAAGAATTATTGTCATCGTGGGCGGCCGCAGCCCCAGCCGCTGCCTCGGAAAGCAACGTAAACAGCAGGACAACAGAAAGACCAGAGGAGGACATAAGGAGGACAACAGAGGACAAAAGGATGAGGGAAGGAAAACAGCACGAACACACCAAGAGGACAAAAGAAAGACTAGTTCTGACCGGACAATGCCAAAAAAAACAACAGGACAACATAAGGGGTGCATGCCAAGAGGACAACAAGAGGAGAAGAGGAAGAAGAGAGGACAAGAGAAAGACAAGACGATGATGGGAGGAGCACGACCGGAGATAGGCTGGCAGCCGCGGTCAATGAATACCGGAAGAAGGACAACAAGAAGGCAATAGAAGAGCATGAAGGGGACGGGACCGAAAAGATTGCGGAAGGGCTCGCCGGCGCCGCCTGACACTGTGGCCAACTTTCATTCCTAGGAGAGAACCTCGCAAGAAAAGGACAACAGGAGGACAAGGAGTGGACATCGGCTTCAGGGGTTGTTTCCTGGAGTTGTCTTTCTAGTGCCTCACCGCTTTGCAGCGCACGCTCGCATGTTGTCATGTTTACACCCTGACACAGGCTGCCACGTGGCCATGCTGCGGTACTGCGGTCTTCGCGCTTGTCGGCTGGCGCTTTCCCACTAGGTGTGCAATTGTTTTCCCGCATTGGACCCTTTGATTGCGCTTGGTGGTGTCATGTCTTCATGCTGCCATGCTGTCATCTGGACACCAGGAGAAGGACAACAAGGGGATGACAGGAGGACAAAGAGGAGGACAACAAGAGAAGAAGAGAACGAGAGGAGGAAAAGACAGAGAACAGAAAGATGACAACAGGAGGAGAAGGTCTGGAGACTGGCTGGCAGCCGCGGCCAAGCTGGTGTCACAAGAGGACAACAGGAAGACAAGAAGAGGCCAAGAAAGCCGCGGCCAAGCTGCACATCACAAGAAGAACAAGAAGAGGACAACAGGAGGACAACGCCCGGACGCAGCGTTCACCAGCGCAGCCAGGGACTGTGGCCAGTCCCTTTTTTCCCAATAGAAAACCCTAAAGAAATATACACATATGTAGAAGATTAGGAAGAATCCGTATAGAAGAGGAAATAGAGAAGGTGGACTTGGGTCCCTTTGATAAGGTTCCCTTTAACAGGATGCTTTATTATTGAAGGGACCGGAGTCCACCTGATCTTTTCTCTCGTTTCGGAAAGAATGAGGCAGAGCCGGGCAGAACATCAAGTCCTCCAACGTCACTGGATCGTTGGGGCCGTACCATCGCCAGGTCTCTTCAAGGAGTAGTGGTTTTATGGGCTTTGGCACTGGCTCCATTTCAAGAAGCCAGCAAAGGGCTTTTTCGTCGAGCTTCGGAAATCTAGAAGAGAGTTTTGCCCGGGCCAAATTGCAGCCAAATCAAACATGCTGGCAAGCGGTCTCAGAGAAGACTCCAACTTCATCGAAAGGTCGAAGTCTTGCCAGAAAGCGTTCTTTCTGATGGCACGAAGCCCCTACATCGAACCTCTGTCAAACAGAATAAAGTGAAACAGGCTGAACAATCCCGGGTGTGCAATGCTTCTGCAATTATCTCTCTTTGCAATGTTGGTCAGGAAATTCACTCTGAGCTATGCACACCTGGTTTGTTGGATGTCAGCTGCTCATTATCAAAAGCATCGGTATTCGACTCCGACTCACTTGGTCATGACTACGCCTGAAGCATGGAAACTTTGGAGGGGAATGTCTTGACAAGCACCCCATGTCAAGCCGACAAACATGTGAATGCCTGAGAAACACCCTTCAAATCAATCACCTGGTCCTGGTGCACGAAAAAGCTGTGCTGCAAGAATTCTGAACCAGAATGCTGCGTGTCATATACTGCTCATAATCCCTCCTCAGAGACAGAGATGGTCTCGTAGCTGCTAGCCTGAAGGAGGAAATGGAACTACTATGAACTGCTCAGCTTGTGTATAACTTGCCTTACTGCAAGACTCAGGGTTAGGCATCTTCCTTTTTGTCCCTGACATTGAACATCCAAGTAATTTCATGTGCAAAGTAGATTCAATCTGATCTCTTGGACACCAGGATACGATATCAATAGTTGATGTCTTTACTCAGGATAACGTCCTGGGCTCTATCAAAACGTCAAAAGAAACAGTTCATGGAAAGTGGACTGTGAAGAAGCAACCGCACAATGGCTGACAGAATTTAGAAGAAAGGGCAATGAGAAGTCAACGTGGGTTCTTGAGGCAAGCGAAATGACAAACAGGAGCAAGGACGCTACTAGGGGCTCCTGGCCTTACTACTAGGAGCAAGGACGCTACTAAGGGCTCCTGGCCTTACTACTAGGAGCAAGGACGCTACTAGGGGCTCCTGGCCTTAAAGGACGCTACTAGGGGCTCCTGGCCTTACTACTAGGAGCAAGGACGCTACTAGGGGCTCCTGGCCTTACCACTAGGAGCAAGGACGCTACTAGGGGCTCCTGGCCTTACTACTAGGAGCAAGGACGCTACTAGGGGCTCCTGGCCTTATCACTAGGAGCAAGGACGCTACTAGGGGCTCCTGGCCTTACTACTAGGAGCAAGGACGCTACTAGTACTATGAAATCAAAGGACTCGGGACCAAAGGATGCTCCAGACCGCTTTCCCAATCCAAAATCAACAAGCGCCAGGCCGCCAGGTGGAATGGGTGAACCGGCTTGCCCAATACTATGGCCTCCATAAATTTTGAAACAGGGGGGAAGCCAAATTAAATCAAATAGAACAAGTGCTTTCTTTCTGGTTACAGAGCCCCCGTTCTATAGTAAAGCGCCTGTTTCTCCTCTTCAAAAAAAGTGTGCCCTATAAATGGATTGGCCCAAGTTCCCCATGGAGAGCATCTACACCAAGCATAGAAACCATCAGAAGCAACCTCCATCGAGAAAAGGTAAGAAAGTCGGAAGTTAGAGGTTGAAGGCGATGGGTTAAGGATGTCCGCATGGAGAATGTAGGTAGACGGAACAGTCTTAACCAGTCTTCGGAACAGTATGCTGACGTATCAAGCTGTTCGTCTCAAGTGTCCATCCTTCTCGCAAAGGCTGTTCCAGTCAAGTCCACCTCCCCCATATCCTGAACCAACCGCTGTGGATAGTGCATCGTTTGGACAAGTCACACTGCTTCATACTGCTTCTTCAACTTGCTTCATACTGTATTTTCCGGCCTACCGTGTTCACATTGCACATACCGTCCTTGCTCAAAGATGTCGTGATTTCAGAGCGTCGAATCTTCTGAACCTTGGTATGCATGCACTAAGGTAGTCTTGTGATTAAAGTGAGACACGCAAAATGGCCGGCAAATGAGACTGCCACTAGTGTGTGCCTTAGATTGCTGGAAACACTCATTGAGCACATTTTATATACATGTTAAAAGGACAGCTCTGCCAAGTAGCACATCTGAGTCTGTGATGGAAGCTCTGCCAGGTGTGCCTTGCGTAAAGATTGTGTCTCAGACAGCGTGTGCGAAAGGTAATGGTTGCTGCTCGGCCGACTGTTTTCACGAATGAAGTATACAGTATATATATATGATGCAAATAGGTTGTCACGGCTTTGTCCTTCATATTCCTTCATAGTGCATTTGGAACTGGTACCAGTTGTGGCTTAGCCCTGTGTTGGTGACCAGGGTTACTATATATGATGTTCTTCGTTCGTTTCGTTGAACTGCACTGCAGGTTTCAAGGGCTTTTGCCCCAGTTGAATGCAGCTAAACAGCCCTCAAACTGATAGGAATCATGTCCTGCTTGTGTTGAGATTACAGGTGCTGCGAAGTCTCTAGTCTATTGGACAAAAGCGTCTGGACTGCAAATTATGATGTATGTGAATGTGACCGAAGAGTTTGGGCAAGCTGGCTCGAGACACATCAAAGACATTCCAAACTGTCTTGCTTTCTCTTGGCTGGCTTTCAAAGCAAATTGGTTTAGGACAGGCTCCAGCAATCGGTTCTACCATTGAAGCTTGCATGCACAAGCCTCCCGCCCAGATTCGGCCTGCAGCTTGTGGTCGAGGCGATGGCTCAGGAGACATCCCTTCCTGGCAACTCGCTTGTTCTAGTGTGAGGACGAGAGAATGCCAAGGCGGCCTGTGAAGCAGCACTCAAGGATCGAATCCTCTTTACCTACCACAGGTTGGCATACCCCAATTGATCCAAATGATTCAATGACTGAATCAGTGCTGACAGCCTCCTCCAACTCCTGGTGCAAGATCCGCCCATTGTTTTGTTCCTCCTCCCAAATATATCAAGGACTGTTTTGGGGTCGGCTGGGTGAAGACAGCCACCCATCCACTAAGTCACTAAGAATCCAGAAAACAGTTTTGTGCTGAATGCACAAGACTGAATGAAGTTTCTCTCTATCGCCCGACCTGCAGGGCAGCGCGAAGACCTCACACCACTCGTGGAGACAAGGAACAAAAACACTACAGCAAGAGACACTACTGACATGAACATCACAAACAGCACAGGTGTCAGCTGTGAGGGTGTGGCTGCTTTCAGCTTTGCGCCGCTCACTGATTGCCTGCCTGAAGTCCAGCAACAAGTCCCGAAGCCGTGGAGTTTCAGAAAGGTAGATCAAACTTCAATCAAACAATAGGGCTGCGGCTTGTAGTGCTCCACATCTGCCTGAAGTGTGTCTCTCTCCTTCTGCAAGCTGTCCTGCATGGTGTTCAAGTAGTTCATTGTTACAGTAATCAGACCCAGGATTGGACGTTGAGAACATCTTGGAGCACAAGGTCTTGGAACCCGGCCATGAGTCGCTGCATCTGGACAAGCACAGTTGCTGCAAGGTCACAGACTTGCATGAACGAATCATTTGCCTTACGAAGAACTGCACAAAAAAACGAAACACAGTCTCTCCCTTGGCCTCTTCCAAGCCGCTCTTGGGAACGGATTGGGCTCGTGCCTTGGCATCTTTGTGACTTCTGTGAACAAGCTCGTGGAGTCATGGCCTGGGTTTCTTGAGACCGGGCGTCGCTCAGCTCCGTAGAGAGACGCAGCACCTTCAGTTGCTAGGCGCAGTCGCTTGTCTCAGTTCATTCTCCATACCTTGGAAGCTTCAGTTAGCGATGGCCTCCACCCTACTAGCGATCGCCTCCAACCTACTAGCGATGGCCTCCAACCGATTAGCGATGGCCTCCATATATACATTTTTTTATTATATTGACAAATTTTGGCCCCGTTTTGTCGTATTCCTCAGGCAGGATGAGACACGTCTTCTCTCTCGCTGTCAGAATTGTGCGTGCACTTTTCTCATCTTGTCTTTTTTGTGCCACAGAAATCTATACTTGGTTTGCAGGTGCCTTCTTGGTGTGCCAAGTGTAAAGTTGTGGGTCAGCCCCCAGCCTGCAACTCTGGAGCACTCTGTTGGCTCCATGCAAAAACAAGAACCCCGGTCAAGCACGTTGAGCTTGATCTTGTACTCCTAATTGTGGATGTCTCGTGCCTTTTTGTGCTCCAAATCGTGGTTTTCTCCTGACTCCCAATTATGATTATATTATTATATATAGTTATATAATATACATATCTGATATATTATATATATATATCCTTCTAAATGTCTTTGTTGTGCTCCAGGTGCGGTTCTCTGCTCCAGGTTGTAGCAGAGTTTATATATATAGCCTTTCTTGTGCTTGTTTGGTGCTCCACCGTGTCTTCTTCCTTCCTGCGTTGTATGTGCTGCCACAAGGTCAGGGTTGAATTTGACCGCAACGAAACAACGTTTGGGAGGGCGAATCTATGCTTTGTCCCAGCAAGATCTTGATTGTAAAACTGCAAAGCCCAACAGGTTGAGAAGATTCCAAAGGGCTAAAAAAAAGGTTCTGCGGTCTGTTCTGAATGAAGGTATTGGGCGATGGTTCCAGAGTTTTTTTTCCGCAGTGCATTGCTGGTACTGCATGACGATCTTTGAAGCGGATTGACTCTGCACCTCATTTTGCTGCTGCTCGAGCTTGGCCTGCACCTCGAAACCAAAGATGTCTTTTCTCAAGTCCATCCAGTGCATGAAAGTGTCCAGACCTCTCGCACCTGCAGCAAAGCATCATCACGCTCCTTGCACAAACTTGAGGTAGCCCGCCGGTACGAGCCTAGGAAGCCCATAGTCAGCGGCTGCATGCGGTGTCCTTGCTTAGCCGCTGCTGTCTCCCATCAAAGTCCTTGGAAGTGCGAAACAATCCTGACAATACACTTCCACACCTTCTGAGATGTCCGACGGTGAGATCAAAAGGAACAAGTGCCCACTAGTGCAAAACGCTGGGCTCTGCTGTCCGTGCGGGAGCACTGATTGTTTCAAGGCTCAGGAAGAGGTCTGCGGGATCTTCTGCCATCTTGTGGCTGCTGGAACCCCCAATTGAGCACTAGCTCTGGTGTATCCAAACAAGTTCTCCTATTGCTGGCAGCTATTTGCTGGCTTGGATTAGAACCGGTTCGGGTTTGCAAAGAAAAGCAATACTTTTTGACACTAACAAGTAAGGTCAGGACGGACAAGGTGGCCGTGGCCTACGAAAGAACCAAGAAAAAGACTTCAGCGCAAGCCTGATTCCAACAAGCCAATACCATAGTGAGATCCCTGAACAACTCAATAGTGTCCCCACCCTTTCTCGCATGACACTCTGTGCTAGCTGCTTCGCAGCCGCTCCGTAGGGAAGTATGTCGCAGTTCAATTTTAAGAGGTACTGTACGAGTTTACACTTCGGAAGACGAGCCTGCTGGTTTTGAACCGCGACATAGCACAAACACTCGAAACATGTGCAAGCTGAGACTTGAGAAGCGAAGCGTTCTTAAAATGATTTGAGAGAGAAATGATTGGGTCCGGTCCGGAGTCCGGTCCGTCCGGCAATGTCTGCTTTGAAATTGGGGGTCAAGCTCTTCAGAAAGGGCTTGGCAGGTTCTGGTAGAACTCTCGGAGCGTTGCGGGTAGGATGAAGACCCATTAGGCTCACTTTGACTCCAGGGCTCCCATAGTCCCCCAAGTCCATGTAGGCTTTGCGGTAGCGCTCCTGCACTTCGAGACTCGAAGAGCAAAAGAGTCTACCACTGTCCAAACCACCAAATGGTCAATGGATGTCAATAGCCATAAGAAAATTTGTCTTAAGGCTTAAGGTGTGACTGATATATAGCAAGCTCATGTAGTCGGGGTGTTGCAAGACAAGCATATCAGCTCCCCTTCCCCAAAAAGGCATGCTGTGCGGGGAAGACAAACTGCAAAGTGCTAGAGCAAAGTGTGATGGATAAGAAAAACAAAATGGGCGAGGCACTGAAACTATCTTCAGCATCTGACTGCGAATCCACAGAGAGAGGAACGCTGTGAGGGCCCGTGTTTTTCAGTGTTTGTTTTTTGTGTCTTTTTTTACTATATTTGGGCCTGTTACATACAAAATATATTGTGTAACCATTATCAACCATTTTCTGGCAGATATGACTTTTGCTTGCTCCTGCAAGTAATGTCCTAATCATTGTTTGGTTCACTTTCTCAATGCCACTCACAATATCATCAGTATCAGTATCATACTCATTTTGAATGATTCTATCTTTAGATGTTGAAATGTCTACAAGTTGATTTTCTACAACTTGGTAAAATTAATTAGGCAATTTAATATCCACATTCTTGCTCACTCTCCAGCCTCCAATCTTATTGATAAAAGCCACTCACTTGGGTTCTTTTGAACTTCAGCTTTGATGGTGAAACAATCAATCTTAAACACACTATACTATAATACCAGCATGCGTCAGTTTAAAGTATGTTTTATAAATTTCAACAAACGGTGCTGCAAAAGAAGTTCTTTGATATACCTAATTGTTAACTCCTGAACTGGTTTTAGTTGTTTGGTATCACGTGTTGCAAAAACAAATTGCTCAACAAACCATGTGGCTTTGCAATAAAAACTCAAACCGATGAAATAGATTTGATCGATTGCTATGACATCAAATTCTGACTAATCAAATGGTTCCATTTAAACATCACTAAAACTTTGACCAAAAATATTGTTATTTAGTGTTCTGGTGCCAACTTCAAATTAATGTGATAACCTATTAGTAGGCCATACAAATAATATTGTGTACTGTAACCATTATCAACCATTTTCTGGCAGATATGACTTTTGCTTGCTCCTGCAAGTAATATCCTAATCTTTGTTTGGTTCACTTTCTCAATGTCACTAACAATATCATCAGTATCAGTATCATACTCATCATTTTGAATGCTTCTATCTTTAGATGTTGAAATTTCTACAAGTTGACAACTTGGTAAAATTAATTTAGGCAATTTAATATCCACATTCTTGCTCACTCTCCAGCCTCCAATCTTATTGATAAAAGCCACTCACTTGGGTTCTTTTGATCTTCAGCTTTGATGGTGAAAGCATCAATCTTAACACACTATACTGTAATACCAGCATGCTTCAGTTTAAAGTCAGTTGTATACAGTTCAAAAATTGTGAAAATTAGCTTCAAAATTAAAAAAACGTGCTTTTATCACTCTGCTCTACTAGACTTGCCAGCCTTTGCCCAAGAATCCTAATCTGGAGGAGGGGTCGACCCTAATTTGGTAGACCCTCCCTCTCAGCCTTTGCCAAAGGATACTAATCTGGAGGAGGAGGGTCGACCATTTGGTCAATCCTCCCTCCTAGCCTTTTCCAGAGGCTCCTAATCTGGATCTGGAGGGGGGGGGTCGACCAAAAAACAACATTGTTTTTTTTGCTCGACCCCCCTCCCAGCCTTTGCCAAATGCTTTTTTTTTGCTTTCCCCCCCCAAAGATCCCTCTCTTCCGCTTTCAGATTGAGACGTCCTTGTTCCTTGCCTACATTGTGTGGCACATAAGCTTTTGTTATTGTTTCACACATATTTTGTTTTGTTTAATGTATTACAAATTATATATAATATATAGGAAAAGTAACAAATAGAAATATATAAGTATATAAAGTGATTTTATTGAAAACAATAGCTGTTTAGAAACACTGCAAAACGCAGGCCCCCCGCAGCGTTCCTTCTGAATCCACAAATGTTCAGTCGGAGCAATGATTTGCAGCACACTGCCACTGACAGTGCAAAGAAAACTTAACTTGCAGTTTTGAAGTGGGACAAGCAAACTCTGCAACATAATGAGATGATTGACATGAAGCCGTCTGTGTAACAAGTTCGGGGCTCTACGGTTGACCCTGATGGATATATAACTGCAACCAGAAAAGAAAGTGCCGGAATTAGCAAGCGGTAGTGATGTGCATTCCCTGCCAAACCTATTAGCAACCTGTCACTCGCAACTATTCACAATATTTCACAATCTAGCAACAAGGATTGAGCTGTCCTCAAAATGGCCATCATTTCGTCGGCCTGCCCATCCATTGCTCTGCTCCTGTACTTTGTGTGGTACAAAGTGCCGGTCCTTGGAAAATCCGAGAATCTCCTGAAGCCTTGCTGCGTAATCAGGGTCACCGTGGTCTCGGTCGCCAGGCGTATTCCCCACAGGCAAGCCGAAGCGGGTCCGGGGCTGTGGCAAAACAGTCTTCAAATCGGCGGCCCTGTCTGTGAGACCAGAGGGGCTGATGGATTCACTCTCTCTCTCCCAACTGATGGAATCCTTTTTGTCCTTCTTGGACTTTGATCTGTCAGGCGCTTCTGCATTTGCTTGGAGACTGTCGAAACCAAAGGACATCTCTTCTTCGTGCCCGAAGCTAGGCCATCTGGTATTGCTCCCCTCTTCCTTAGACTTCTCTGGTTGCTCTCCTTGCCCCCAATCTAGATCATCCTGGCCAAAGGTGGACCACTCTCCTTTGCCGAAGCCCTCTTCATTCGACTCCTTGTTTTTTTTGTTTTTCTTTTCGCTCTTGTCTTTTTTGTCGTCCTTGTGTTTTTTTTTGTCCCTTCTGTCTTTTCTTCGTGCATCTTGCTCTTCTCCGAAGCTAACGTGGGCATCCTGAGAGAAGTCCTGAGGAAAGTCCACTTCATTTGGAAACTGAGGTTGCGGAGTGTCATTACCAAAGTTGGCAATGCTCGGGCCACTGGGGAACTCTGGGATTGCAGGATCCACAGTCACATCCCTCCCAGCTCCGAGCTCTACCTCAGGACTTGATTGCTTGCCTACAAAAAAATAGAATAAAGCTAAGGAATACGTTCTTTAAAAACACTCTGCCATTGATTGTGACCAATCCAGTCTTGTGCAAGTTGAGTTCACCTCGGATCATCTCGGCTGCAAATCTTAGTGGATCTAGCCTAAAGAAGGTTTTTCGTTCTGAGCGTGCAAAGGTTGCATCATTGAGGCGGCGTTGCTTGTTTTTCTTGCATTGAGTTGCTTGGCGGTTGTAGTGCACTTGGCGTAGATACCTCACAGAGGTCTCCTGGTTTGCTGGTGGCACTAAGCCAGCACAGCGACAGCACTTAATGGCTCCGAAGCTGATCAGTCATTTGGGTGGCTCAGCAAGGTGGTTGGCCATGAGTTGGTCACAGAAAGGAAATTGCAGGTCCAGACGGTGTGAAGGTGTTGCTACAACGTCTTTCGGCAAATCCGTTGGTCAGGAAGTCGCTGCCTAATGCTGCAGCAATCATTTCGGAGTACTCCGCTTTCAAGCGTCGACCACAAGAAACAATATCTCATGAAAGCCTAGGATTTAAAGAGTTTGCAGAAGCACTGGCTCAATTGAAATAGGAGAAAGAAGGCCATGATCCTGCGCTTCGCAACTTTGACCTCCACGACATGTCACCTCCTCCTGATGAGTCTGACCATGATGGTCGCCTGATCTCTATCAATGGCGGCATTGGGAACCGCCAGGTGGTTCCGACGGTGGTCCTGAGCGCGAGGATGGCTACGCTGGCGTTCCTCAGTCTGACCCTCGAGAAGTTAGTCCTCCCAGAGCCCAGGCCTCAGTAACCGGACCGGGCTCACCAGTGGGAAGAACCATCCCAGCAGCTAAAGTTGGATTTGGGGTTTACTCAGCGTGCACAAGTTGTTGGGGGTTCTTCACCTCTTGGGCCTCAAGATTCCTTCATCACGCAGGTCCTCCAAGGTTGGAGATTGCTTGTTGCGGCTTCCCTCACTCAAGAAGAGTGGCCACGACAGGAAACAAGCTGGGATATGAAAAGATTCTCTGTGGGATGAACCGTTGATGGGCTATCGGCTATCGACAGAGTCATCAGACACCATGATGACAGTTCCCGCTGGTCAACCTTTCCTTCGGAAGCAATGGCAGCCTCGCTCCTCCTGCAGCCTCCCACGAGCAAGAAATGCTAGAACAGGAAAAGGCTGCAGAAACCATGGCCATGGAAGCTCGTCGCACCTGGTCACATGTCACAAAACCACGGCCGCCCTCCGACGAGATCGTGGCTTCGGACAGCACTCCAGCTCGTCCAACAGTGGCTGTTTCATTTGTGGCGGACCACATCTTGCCAAGGACTGCCTGACAAGTCAGCACCTCGCAAGGGCTCTGAAAAGTTCTTGTCTCCAGCTGAACTGGATCAGTTCCTTGGCGCGCAAGGAAAAGGAAAGCCGCTTGGCAAGTCTAGGGGC